TTGTATAGACATATCACTTTTTGTTAATTCATTCATCTCTTGATAGACACTTGAGTTGTCTACTTTTTGGCAACTGTGAATAGTGCTACAATGAATGCTGGTTACAAATATCTATTTGTATCATGGAGTCCTGGTCTGATGCTGTAGGATACACACTGAACCGCTAACCACAAGGTTGGCGGTTCACACCCACCAGCTGTTCCTTGGAAACCGTATATAGGTTGCTATGAGTCAAAACTGACTTGACAGCACTTAACAATTAAGAGAAGCAACATTTTTATCCAGTTTTTAAATGTACAGCCTTCTTTTATTTACACTATACTCTACCCAAAAAATACAACTCACCTCTTCCTAACACATCAATTGCATTTTTTTTTTTTTAAGTTTTTATTGTGAATTGAGTGATGGCCTACATGGGAGAACATAGGTTTTATACTCATCGTTTCATTACAATTATTACAATCTCCTCCATGCATCATCATTCAACAGCATTTGCTTCTGTTCCGTGTTTTTGTTTTGTTTTGTTTTGTTTTGGGGGGATATATACACAAAAACACTCAGGAATATACAATCATTTAAACAACCAAAGGGCATATTCTCCAAGCCTGCCTCCTGGCCACCAGCTCTCAGTCCCTCTCTTTCCACAAGTCCAGAATCTTCAGCTGCTCCCTTTCTCCATGTCCTCATCTCTAGTGCTGCTGCTTCTCAGGATAGGGTCCTGCACTCCGCAAATGCTTTTCTCCCTTAATGGTCCTGGGGTCCTCTGTTCCTGGACTGTAAGATTAACTACTTCCCCCTTTTTGTTACAAAGCTTATATTGTTATAGTTGTGACAGTCACAATTAGTCATGATAACAGTTACTCATTATTGAATCCTAAGAATTGTATCCCCATCTCCTTTCACCAGACCTGTCTAGACAAGACATATATCAGGATCCTTATCCCATATTTCTACCTTTTGAAATCCACCTTATGTCTAAAGGCCCTCCTGAAATTCTACTTTTAGTCATGAAAGCCTTCTTCACCTAAGGCAAAAATAACTGAAGTAGTAAATTATGGTATTTATTGTAATGTTTTTATTACTCAAAATAAAAAATAAAAGCCCAAACCTACTGCCATAGAGTCGATTCCAACTCACAGCCATCCTATATACAATAAGGTCTTCCCACCATTTTTCTGTGTGCTTTTTGTGAAGTGTGGTGTTTGGTATACCTGTGTATTTTTTTTTTAAAAGGACTTGTTGTTGTTAAGTGCCATGGTGTCAGTTTGGATTCATAGTGACCTTGTTTCTAAGGAGCAGCTGGTGGGTTTGAACCATTGACCTTGTGTTTAGCAATCCAGTGCTTATCCTACAGTGCCACACCAGGACTCCTCTAAAGAATACTGACTCCTAAAGGCAACTATTTTGTTTTACTATGATATCATTTTCTACAGATCAAGGTATTCCTTAATGTACGCTGGACAACAAACTTTAAGTAAAAAGAAGAATTAAATACCTTAAAGTTAATTAGTTTCTAAACTCACTGGCAAATAAATAAAAGAGGTTTTTGTGAATTTAACTCACAAGATCTAATTGTTCAAATAAATCATAATAAAAATTAAAATGTATTAAATATAACAAAAATCAGCACAATAGGAACACATTGAGTAAAAAGTGATTTTTGCCCAACAAAACCAAACAAACAGAATGTATATTAGACTAGCCATCAGATGAAGAGCTAGGTCTGGAGACAAGCTTTCCCACTGATGGTCTTGACCAATTCATTCCGTAATCTTTAAATGTTTTTGCTCTTAAAACAAAGAGGTTTGAATGCTCTGAGTTCAAAAATTTCTCCTAGCTCTGTAATGTTAACATGACACAAAGAAAGTGTAAGACAACTAACTACCTGAGGGAGAGGGGAAAAGGGAAAAAGGAGAAAGGAGAAATAATCCATTTGCCGTGTTCTGTGTGTGTTTTAATGTGGCTTCTCAAGATGGTAAGATATTTATGCCAGGTATGAAAAAAGCACGGAAAATGAAGTCCTGGGATGTGCCAGACATCCTGGGGCCATCAATTCCTCTAAAACAGAAGATTCAAAATTACATTCATGCTAATCAGGAGAGGCACACCTACCAAACTCTAAAAATGATGAGATTAGCACTTTGCAAATATTTCATCAGTTAATGGGTTATTTTTTTTCTTTCATTTTTGTAACAGTGCCTTTAACAGAGCAGAAGCTTTTCACGTTAATGAATACCTCCTCATTTTAATGAAGACCAACCTATCAGTTATCTTCTAGAAATTTCACAGTTCTGCATCTTACATTTAGGTCTCCACATGTAACATATGTATTACATTATAATAGGACCCATTTTATAAAAAAAATTTTGATTGTGAATTATGTGATAGTTTACATGGGAGAACATTAGCTTTATATCCATCCATCCTATCGCATATCGTTTCATTACCATGATTACAACCCCCTCCATGGATCATCAACCAACCAAAGGGTATACTCTGCAAGCCTGCCCCTCAGTTGTCAGCACACAGCCCCTCTCCCTCTCTGGGTCTAAAGTCCCCAGCCACTCCATCTCTCCACGTCATTGTCTCTGCCTCCATCTCTGGTGTCACTGCTTCTCTAGGTAGGATAGGAACCATTTCTTTTAAGTTAATTTTACTTAAAGTTAGGTCTACTTTTTTTTTTTTTCTTCTCCACTATGTGAGTATTCAGTTGCTCCTACACTCTTTATCTCTTCTGTATTTCATTTTGGTCTTCTCGATTACCCTATCTTCATTATTTCATACTCCCTGCATCTGGATCTTTCTGCTGCTAAGCCCTAAGACTAAATTCATACACGAAGTAGTAACAAAGAAATGGCAGTAGCAGCAGATCCAGAGTCACGAAGCAAGATGGCTGGGCACCTGTGGGGTGTCTCTGTGAACTTGTTGGAGGAGCTAGGCACGCTGACTCACAGAGTGAGAGAGCTGAGCACCTTCGAGTTACGCATTACTACTGGCAGAGTGGGGTGTCACTGGACATCTCTTGCAGCCTTTAACTCAACTGATTTTGTTTCCTATTACCCATATGCTCACTACTCTTATCCAATTAGAATGCTGCTGTTAAGTGCCATTGAGTTGGTTCTGATTCGTAACAACCCTGTATAGAGTTTCCAAGGTGTGGCTGCTGAGTTTGAACTACTGACCTCGTGGCTCAAACCGACCTTGTGGTTCAGAGCTTTATCCCACAGCACTGGGTTTTCTTCCGATTAAAATGCTAGGGCTGGGTTTTAACATGTGTTCTGTTCAGAATAATTATTATCAAATTGAACCAACCAGTCTTCCTTGTGGCTTCATACCCAAATCTCATGGTTGTAAATCAGTAAAATTTCATTTATATATGATCATCATCCAGAAAGGCTTGTATCTACTTTAGGTTTTTAAAAATTATTATTATTTTTAAAAGACATTCCAGATGTTCCTTAAGGGGAATATTTATTTTTGTAGTTGGTGATTGTCATAGATTAAATTGTACACCACCAAAATATGTGTCAACTTGGCTGTACCATGAGTCTCAGCAGTTTGGCAGCTACATAATGATATAATCATCCCAGATTGATCTCATGTGTTCATATCAGTCCATCTCCTGCTGAAGGTGGTATTTCCGTCTTTCTTCCCTGGAGTCCTGGTGTGGCGCTGTTGGTTAATGTGCCAGAC